AATTTGCTACAAACACAAGGAGAAAAATCCTTGGATTTCAGAGTCCTGTGCGTTTTAGAATTGCAGATAAAGAGCTGTGGATCCAGAGTGAAGCATCCTGAAGAGAGGGCCAGAAACCATAGAGCAGCTGAACCAGAACGTGAATGTTCTTTGGAGCCCAGTTGCTCTGGCAGGTTCTGGGAGATGAAGTTAGAGAATATGGAAGCTGCTCTAGCGAGCACTGAGTCTCACACGCGGTTCCCCGTTACAGTACCTGAGACGCTCCGTCCAAGAGATGTCATTGTTGTCCTAGCAGCCACCAAGTCTGACCCCAGAACTCCTGTGGGGTGGCACTAGGAGTAAATGCCCTGCTCGGTGAGGGGCAGGCGATGCAGTGGGAGAGGCCAAGGGGGTGGTGTACAAGACAGAACCATTGTCTTCTTGTTCCTGGACACTCGCATCTCTTACCCTCTCTGGGCCCTAGTTTGTTTTTTTACAATAATTAAAAAAAAAAAAAATAGAAGAACTCTGTGTCCAGGCTGCTTCTCATGGACTTTGGAGAATYGAAACTTACTAAGGGGCTTTGCCACCAAGAGCGTCCCGCGCTACTAAAGAGCCTCAGGTCTTTGTAAGGGGCTTGGTCCTAGTTGTGGTTTTCTGTCCCAAGGCGGGAGCCTCGTGCCCGGGTTCCAGTCTGGGCTCCTGTTCTTGCTCACTGGGTGTGTGTGGCCGAGGACCTGGTGCTTGCCTCTCTGCCTCTCAACCTCCCAACTGTCCTTGGAGCTGGCAGTTTTTTGCCCCCTCCGAGTGGCCAGAGGATGCCTGAGRTGGTTCCTGCAAGCCCTGAGGGTTCCTCCTGTGACCTGGGGCTGAACAGGCCCTGGGCCCCTGGCAGCTGAAAAGAGGCTTTGTCTTTTCCCCATTGTGTGGCTTTGGTAGATTACTGTTCTTTCACTAAGTGACATGCCATGCTTCAGAGATGTCATGCTGACAGGCTTGAAAGGAGTGAGTTAGAAGTCACTTGATCACTCATGAAGTGGCCTGGGGTGATCAGGAGCTCCCTTTGTGCTGTGCACTGCAGCAGCTAGAGCAATACCTGGTTTGTGGGAGCCAGTATTCCTGCTTGTAGAAAGACTGACACACAAACTCCAGGCATTGCAGGCCAGGGGCAGGTGTCCACCCTGTACCCCCCTCCTTCCCTCTGCCCCTCCCTTCCCTTCCTCATCCTTTTCTTCCTTTCCCTCCTCCTTTTTCTGCAAGCATTCACTGAGTCTGTCCATCACAGCTGCTGGGCTGGGCACCTGAGATGGACTTCAACCCTAGGACTGCCCACGTCCCCAGAACTGTTAACCAGTCCCAGAGAAAGAACGAGGAGGACATTTTCTTACTCCCTCCTTACTGGTGGCAGGCTGGGGTACAGTGGAGGACCATGCATCCCTCCAAACAGGGAGTACACAGGGTAGATCACATGCCCACTGCAAGGTGGAGGTCTTCCGATGCTTTATGAGTATGTTCTCTTCCTTTAGAACCAAGGTCACTCTGTTTATATCCTCACCAGAGATTGGAGTGAAGTTCTTCACAGCATGAAGAGAATGGGGGAAAATCTTTACCACCAGCACTTCAGATAGAGCAGTCATCTCCAGGATATATAGAAAACTCAAAAACCTTAACACCAAAATAATAATAATAATAATAATAATAATAATAATAATAATAATATTCATCATCATCATCATCATCCAGTCAATAAATGGCCATAGAACCGAACAGATACTTTACAGAAGAAATATGATCGGTCAACAAATATATGAAAAAATGTTCAACACCTCTAGCAATTAGAGAAGTGCAAATTAAAACTACACTGAGATTTCATCTCACTCTAATCAGAATGGCAATGATCAAAAATACAGTAACAGTAAATGTTGGCGAGGATGTGGGAGAAAAGTATACACTGCTGGTGGGACTGCAAATTGGTGCAACCACTTTGGAAAGCCGTATGGAGATTCCTCGGAAAACCTGGAGTGGAACCACCATTTGACCCAGCTATCCCACTCCTCAGCATATACCCAAAGGACTTAAAATCAGCGTACTACAGTGACACAGCCACATCAAAGTTAATAGCAGCTCGATTCACGCTAGCTAAGCTGTGGAGCCAACCCATGGTTGCTGTCGGTAGAAGCCGTCCACTGGAGCTAGCAGCCGAGTGGCAGAGCAAGAGGAGCCTCAGGGTTGGGGCCCAGGGTGGCTCATTTCAGACCCTGGCAAGCTGAGGACTGCGGCGGGTGGGCAGAGACTCTGGACCACTCCCAGGCTGCCTTGGCAACTTGGCAAGACCCGTCTCAAAATAAAATGTAAGAAGGAGGGCTGGGAAAGAGCTGGACATGGTGGGAGTGTTGGACCCTGGGTGGTGCAGAGCTCCAGGCGCCAGGGTGGTGGGCTCCAGGGGCTCTGGGCGTGGTGTTCCCTGTGTAAGAGGCTTTGCTTTTATTTATTCATGTATTTATTTACTCATTCATTCCTTAATTTTTTTCCRACAAATATTTACTAAGGGCTCCCCACGTGTCCCGCCCTATATCAGGAGCTGGGAGTCCTTGGCGAGGACAGTGTAACTGCTTCTGCTCCAACAGGGCTTCTAGTGGCGGGGAAGTGGGCCTCGGCTGCAGATTCACATCACTGTACTTACCATCCGAGGCACGTTCTCGGAAGGAAAAAGAATGTCACTGTGAAAAAGCTTGTAAATAAGAACCTGCCCTGGTTCTGAATGTGGTGTCAGGAGAGACTCACATGGTCAGGCCATGGGAGCTGAGACCCAGAGGGGGACCAGGGAAACAGGTGGCACTAACCTGTGCAGAGGATCACCCCTGTAGTGGGTAAGCATGTGTACAGTCAAGGTGAGGGGAAGTTCACACATGGCGTGTGGCCAGGAGACAGGTGCCCCATCATCCACAGGATTAGCAGGGGAGACACCTTCCTGAAACTGTCGTAAGGATGGTGAAGAGTTGTGCTCTTCAGCATGAAGGGATGACAAAGAGCCATCGGCAGGAAGCACGTTTTCCCACAGAGCTGGGGTTGAACTGTGCCCTGAATCACCCATCCCTGGGAACTTCAGGGATCCAGAGCCTGAAGCGTCAGAAGATGGTTCTCAGCTTTGGAGAAGCCAGGCATTTGCAGAAGGCCATGGGCCCTSGTCAACTTGCATCCACTGGGAACTCTGGGCCCCAGGGAGAGAGAGAGAGCACCTGTCTGCAGTCCCAACCAGCCCCCTCCGGTGTTCCCTGCCCACAGTGGGACTGGGGCTCTTGACCAGAGGTTGCAGAGCACAGGGGGAGTAAGCGAGTGGAAGTTAATTCTGGGAAGCCCCCTCCCAGGTCAGTAACTGCTGGATTTGACGCAGCTGCAGGAGAAGTGTGCACAGCAGCCTTCCTCAGAARAGCCCATAAGAGCAGCCAGGAGGAGCAGAGCAGGAGCTCCCCGGCCGCTTCCCCTGCCCCTTCCGCCTCCCATGACTGCAGACCTCCCTGATGAGTTCTGTCCGAGCATCGGGGCCGGGACTCTCTTCTGCTGTTGATCTTGGGGCTCATGTTATATGGCAGCTGCCCTCCAATGCCTTGACACTCTTTTTTCCTCCCTGAAAAATCCTTCGTGCCTTCTTCCTGCAGCCTGTCTATGCCAAATCTGAGAAGGACGCTGGATGGACGGTTACGTGAGTGCTGGCAGGTCCGGCCAGCTCGCCAGGTGGTGACCCCGAGATAACAATAATAACAGCAGTATTTGGAATGGGGCCTGGCCAGCTCCTCGTCCCAGCTTCATCTCAGCCCAGCTGGGTGACCTTGGCCTGTTGGTTGGCTGAAGCCTAGCTGTCTGGGCTGTCACAGCAGAGCTCATGAGAGCAGGTCTTTCTAACAGCCATGAGAGCTCAGCGAGGTGCTGCACACAGAGCGCTGAGCCCAGCCGCCGGCACAGTGGAGGCCCAGCAGTGGAGGCCCAGCAGTGGAGTCCCAGCACCGTCAGCGCTTCTCTGCTGCTGAGAGCAGGAGGGTGAGGCCTGGGACAGGGCGCTGGGGAGTGGCAGGAGCAGTGAACCCTCCGAGCTCAGCCCAGCCCCTTCCACGTCCTGCACAGTCATCGTCTGTCCCCATGGGGTCAGGGGGCCACCCTTCTCTCTGGGACAGAAGAGCTGTATGGCTAGAGCTTCCCCCATCCCTGCCATCCCAGMAGAGGTTGCCCAGGAGCCGGGTGGAGGGGCCAAGAAGGAGAAGTCAGCTTACCTCGCCTGGGGGCTAAGAAGGGAACCTGGGCTCAGGACGCAGCTGGGCTGGGGATGCCCTGCCAATCACGCCCAGTGGCTGTGGACCTTGTCAGCCATGTTCCCTGGGGTGAGGTCGTAGGGTGCTCTGAGGGGCCAGAGGCACAGGGTGTGGGAGGGCCACGGGGCCCCAGAGGCTCTGGAGCTCCATTGCCACTCGGATCAGAGCCCAGAGACTCACAGCAAGCACGACAGATTTGCAGAATAAATCTTTGCCTTTCAGCAGAGAGAATCAGCTGATCACAAGTGTAGATAGCAGAATACTTTTGTGTACATTAATCTTATTTTCATTGGGCCTTACAGGCTAATTCCTGAAATTTAATTGCTYGTGGTTAATTGATTTATCAATATTTATTGAACATTCGGTTTTAGCTCAACACCCATTCAGCCCTGGGATGGGGGGGACCAGAAACATTAGAGGTGGTTTTTTTGATCTGCTAACAAAATCCACGGCAGAATCAATGCTGGCTGATTACAGCTTTTCTCCTTTCCTCCCTCCCTCCCTCCTGGAAATCACCAGATACTTATCTTTTATTCATTGACAGAGTTAACTCAGGAGAAAGTGGAAATATGTATTCATTACACGTTCTTTCTTGGGGGAAAGGAGAGAGTCTATGGGTGTTCCTGTTTTTTTTWAAATAATGTATATTATTGATAATTATGTATCTGGCAAATAAAAATATTAAACTGGGGATGGTCTCTGTTTATTTTCCAGATCCACAGCCGGGTTTTCTCATCCCCTAAAGATCAATCTTCCCGGGAAAGAGGTGAAAGTCTTCTGAACGCAGGTAAAGAGCTGGGTTCCACTGGGACCCATTGACCTCTTCTCTCTCTATTTTTATTAACAATGAAAWGTACTTTGGAGCCTGGTTCCTCCCAAACATGCCATGCTAGCTCAGTGGCACCTCCCACGAGGTTTGAAATGGTTTACCTTTCCACCCTGGCTGTAGACCAGCGTCCACAGGGAAGCAGACGGTGGRTAAGGACTGTCAGTTCCTCGGGCGGTACCTGGGACACTCCTGACAGGGGCGCGGGGGTCAGGTGGGCCCAGGCGGGCTCCTCCTGGAGCCGGCAGTTCCAGGGGTGAGTGTGGGGTGAGTGTGGCTTCTCCCAGCGCAGTGGACGTGTTTGCAGTTGGGGCATGGTGGCTGTGCGTTCATAAATCAGTTTTTTATGAAGCTTCAATTCATAGCTATGAAACTGTAAAAACACTAGGCGAGATGGTTACGGTTCATAACTCTTATTAAGTTTGTTAACATAAATTATGTGAAAACAAGCTCCCTCCGTCCCCTTTTTATTAGAAGTCACATGGATTCGGGTCAAATGTTCTGATGGTACTGTGGACTACTGGATTAATAGAACGTTCAATTCGCTGCAAAAATCAATTCTAAAAGAATGTTTTACTGTGGCAAATTTTAGTTTTTAATCCTCATTTTGATTCTTGCATGTGGCAGATGTGTTGTTGTAGACGAAAAATACCTATGTATGTTTGGGTATATATATATGTACATATTGTATGTGTGTGTACAGATACATTTGTATGCACACACACATTTGCGTTTATATCTTTTCATTACCTGCCACCACCTGCCTATATCAAAGATGTTGGGAAACTGAATTTCTTTCCATAACTGGCATAGTCAACTGAAGACAAAAATATTTGAAAGAAACTTTCCTATTTAATCCTCCCTGGAAGCCCCAAGCGTGGTTTGTAGCTTAGTCTTTTATGGTGGCAGGTGTTTAGTRTGGACCCCTTGAAATCCTAGCCCCCCACCGTCTGTGGCAGGAGTGTGGCTGCACTGGGCTGCTTTCCTGGCTCAGCAGARGCAGCCCTGGAAGCCTGTCTGGCTCTGCACCCTGCAGGGAGCCTGGGGACCAGGAGAGAGTGATGAGTTTTCCTAGAACAATCAAGAGGGCTGCAAGAGCAGTCAGACCTGGTGACTGAGATGAGGCCACCTTGCTCCTCTTTATCTCAGGACTGGGCCACATCAAAATGGCCTTAGGCACCTGCACAGTGGGTGCTGCTCCAGGGGAGATCAGCAGGTGAATCACTCAGGAGCCAAGTCCGTGCTGTTCCCAGGCTAGGGTTAGTGACCCAGAGTTCAGGAAGTGTGCCCAAGCAACCCTGGTGGGGAGGGAGAAAAGTTTCCTGGCATTAAAACAAAACCTGCCAGTGTGGTCCAGTGGAAAGCTGTCCTGAACCCCGGGTGGTCCTGGGCAGGGCAAGGAGCCCTACTGCACGGCACCATGCTTTCCCTGGAGTGGACTTTCCACGGAGCCCTCTTGTGCCCAGGGCATCATCCTCTAGGGTTGTTTCTCCTATTAGCAGTTGCTCTGGCACTTGTGAAGAGACAAGACAGATTTTATTCGAGTTGTTTCAGCAGGGGAGMGAGACTTGCATAGGGAGCTGCGCTCAACTCTGGGTACAGTCAAGGYGGCTGGCATGTGTAGCCACAGGGCAGGGGAGGACATTACTAAGTGGATGGACATTACTAAGAAGAACTTGCTAGCTAAGGTGGGGGGCTTAACCAGGCTGGGGGATGCTCCCTAAGCCRGGTTGGCAGGAGTCTGGATAGAACTGGGCTCAGTGGAACTCTTCKCTGTTATTGGACTCAGCAGTCCAAGGCAAGGCCCTGCAAAGAAGAGGGCACAGAGGAGCAGGACTGAAGCAGAGATGGAGGAGTCCTGCCTCACCTCTCCTAGAGCATGGGCCGGAGCAGCCTCCTGGGCCTCTGTGCCTGTGGTGGCCCAGCTTTCTCCCCAGAAAAGCAGGAGGACTTTGCATCAGGAAGCTGGTCTGCCATCTCAGTCTGCTTYGGGCTGCACCGGGACACCACATCCTGGCACATTACAGACAACGGGGTTCATTTGGTGCAGTTCTGGAGCTGGGGACGTCCACAGTGGAGGGGCCGCACATGGTGAGATCCTTCTTGTGCCTCATAACCTAGTAGAAGCCATCACGTGGTGCGACCGCACAAGGTGGGGAGAGAGAGGGAGAGGGGCCAAACTCAGAGTTTTTGTTAGGAACCCATTCCTGCCATAACTGTCCTACCCCTACGGGAACAGCACTGATCCGCTCACGAGGGTGGAGCTGGTGAACTGACACCTCTTGGAGGTTCGGCCTCTCCATGCGGCTGTAGAGGCAGTCCACTTTCTGCACAGCCCTGGAGGGGCACAAACCAAGGCACTCCGCTCCCACACTTGTAAAAAGGGCACAGGACGAGGTCTTGCTCAGCCTTCTTGGGACTTTGGGAAACCCAGGAGCAGAGTTTTAGGTCAAATCCTGGGTGTCAAGGACCAGAAACCCATTATCACAGACAAAAGGGAAGTTGTCAGGAAACCAGTAAATGTGGAGGGAGGAAGATCCGCTGGATGCAGACGTGGGGGAACCGGGACCTCCAGGACCTTAGCAGCAGGAGCGTGGAGCTTCGTCCCGAGCTGCTCCATCTTGACATTGTCACCTCTGATCAGGAGACCAGGCCAATAGTGGGCGCATGGCTTCCGTGGACCCAGCATGTGGATGACTAACTGCAGGGCAGCTCCCCCACAGGGCACCAAGGGCCAAACCCTTGTCCCCGAAGGAGTGAGTAGGCTTAGGGTGTCTCAAGGTCAGCGGGCACTGCAGAGGTCATTCCTGCAGCAACGTTGCCATGCTGATGTTTGAAACCCTCTCCGTGTGGGCTGATGCGTGGCCAGCCCCAGGGAGGAAGGCGAGCTGTTTTAAGGAAGCCCCCGGGCTGCTCACACAGCTAGTGTTGTTAGGAAGCTCTCCGTTGGTGGGGAGCCCAAGTAAATTAGTGGCATTATTGATTTATTTCCCATCTGTGTTTACTGAGTAGGCCAAGAGGGACCAGTAACTATTTTAAGGTGTTGGAGTCCATGACCTGATCCAGGCAGGGGAGGACAGGGGTCCAGCCAGAACAGGGACTGTGGTGGACAGTCAGAGCCCCAGGAAGTGACCTAATTACCTACCAGCTGTTGGGATAAGGGACAAGTTAAAGATGTTCAATGATGGGGCAGGGAATGCAGGATGTAGGGGTGATGGGGTAAAGGGGGTGCTGGTGGGTGGTCTGGAATGTGTGGGGTTTAGCTACTTCCTGTGAGAGGCAGTGAGGCCCCTGCTCCAGTATCCAGGACGTGGTTGGGTCTGGTGGGAGGTTGGGAGACAGGGCGGGTTCGGAGGTCTGGAAAGTCAGCTGAGATGACCACAGGAGAGGAAGAGGGTGAGGCTCAAACCCTGAAGCGGCCCACACGTGTGGCGTGGGAGGAAGAGTGTTGTCCTGGGAACCACTGACCTGGCCCGGCCTTGGTGGTCACATCCAGGTATCTTCAGTGCCACTGTGGACCTCTCAGGTTTTCTTTAGGACTGTTCTTCCACTTCCTCGTTCCTCAGTTCTCCCGGACACAGAGAGGGCTCAGGATTCTTGGTCTCCATGGGGCAGTAGGCTCTGTTGGAGGGGCTGCAGCAGTGGGGTCTGGGGTCCAAATAGCATGCGCCGTGCTCAGGCGGGAGTCTGCAGAAAATGCCGTCTCCAGGTTTGGGTTTTTCTTCCTCCATTTGTACCATGCGACCATTTGCTGCCTTAGACCTTGGAATTTCCAGACTGGGCAGGGTGGGGAGCTGATTTCTTACGGTTGAACAGCCCTCTTGGCGAGGCCTTTGAAATCTGTTGGCTTGTGTAAAATTTCAGTTTACTATGATTAATAGGATCTGAATGCTGAGGAACACTCGGGGAGAAAACAATCTAGGAAAGATGACTATTTCGACCCAAACTCACATCTGTTTTTAAAATCAGAGGAAGGTAGAAAGTCCCTTTCAAATTTGGATTCTACACTTTATAAAACGATTCTGTTTGCCATTCCCACACCGCTGTGCTACCTGTCTGCAGAGGAGATTGCTGGATGCGGGACTCGGGGTGATTTGTGAGTCAGGTGCCTCACTGGGGCCACGTCCAGGGAAACAGGTTAGCAGAAATGCAGGTCATGGGGATTGATGAAAGCCTCTCGGAATTTTTAATTACTGACTTGCTTGGCCCAGGAGGGAAGTGGGACAGCATGAAATTTTCTTCCTCCTGATCAGTTAAGCCCGACCTTTACAGATGGCAGGTTTTAAAGGGTGGGCCTTTGATGGATGGGAGGGATAACGTAGTTACATTTCATTTAGAACCTGAGGATAACGGTTCCCTTATTCCAGCTTTCACAAGAGCAGGCTTCRCTGTCCCCTAGCAATCGTTTCGTTTGGTTGGCGTTGAATCAGTTATTTTTTTCCAATAGAACACACGCCCCTGGTCCTGCTTTGAGGAGCGTTGCCCTGTTTTCCTGAAGCAGAGCACCTGGCCTGAGGTGAGCAGAGCCGCGCCCCTCTTCCAGGAGTGGCTTGGGAATGTGGGTTCTCTCTGGAGGAGAAGGGGAGGGACGCACGTCCGCTGGCCCTCCCTAAAGCCTGGCTTCTATGAAGGCTCAGGTGCTGGAGCTGAACACGTGGATTTATCATTTTTTCATACCCAGGCTGTTTGATGGCTCTCCATTCCTCCTGCCCCTTCCCTAGACTCCTTGCTGCCCAGGGGAGAATGCATCTCCTGAGCGATTTAGGACAGTGTCTGTAATCAGTGCGGCTTCTCTGGTCCGGGGTCACAGCCGTCCTCAGAGGATGAAGCAGAAGCTCCCGGGCACAGCACGCCTCAGGCCTGTGCTTCTAGACTTCTCTCCCATCTCGCTGCCTCCCCTCCGTGGGCTCTCTCCTTGTCCAGAGGCTCCTCTGCCTGCCCGCCGGCCCCCTGTGGATTGT